TGTGACAAGAAAATTTAGACTTGCTAAAATTCTTTTTCATAGCTTTATTTATTTTTGTTAGATTGATTTGGAGGTTTTCTAATTGTCTACGCATATCTTCTACAGGATCATTATCTGTAACTTCAAGACCCTGTGGGTTATTGCTTTGCAATGCTTTCTTTATTGCTGGTTTTGGAGGTAAATCGGGCTTGGAAACAGAAACAAATTCTGGAATCTTCCCAGTAAGCCATTGTATAAATCTACTCATATTCGTATCTTGTATAATTTGAGAGGTTCCTGGTGGTTGTGGCCTATAGTATGATTGAGATGGTTGTGAAGAAATCGGTTGAGATGACACAAAGTGCTGAGTCATTATTTTTTGGATAGATGGTATTATAGATTTTATCAAGTTTCGATTTCAGTTTTGGTTATACCCAGACCTGAAGGGTTATTGTCTTTTCTATAAGATTTATCTGTGCCCAAATATAAATATACTCCAGATAATTGCTCTGTTTTATATCTTTCGATTTCTTCAAGTTCTGTAAGCAATTCAGATACAGGCCTATTAATTCCAATACATCGAATTTTTAATTGATTATCAGGAGAGATACCATGAATAAATTGTAATCGAATTTGTTGTTCATCAATCCTAGCAAGCCTAGCAAGTTTACATAACTTAGAATAGAATCGACCTACAGGATCACTGCCTTGGACCGTTGAACCAAAGAGCATTCGCTATTTTTCCGCAGTGACTGTGAGATAGTTAGTTTTAAGCCAGTATATTGCCTGGCCAAGTTGGATTCCATTTGCTACTATAGTTTGTCTGGCATTAGCATTTGGCGCATTGGGTAATCGATCTGTTGGGTGCCAATCGGCAAAAGACTAGTCTTCATCAAATACTGTATGAGCTGGAATAACAATATTTTCTGCCTGGCCCACGGTACCATGTCTTAAATTTGCACCAAGTTGTACTACCGTTCGTTCTTAGGTCGCACCTAAATCAACTTGGCTGGTATTATCTAATAAATTTCTCAATTCCCAATTCTTTCTTCGAAGAGATCTTTCATACCAATCTTTAGCATCACCTTTGAGGCATGTTTCAAAAAGACCATGTGCTCGAACTCTATAGGCATGTCCGGCTAATACATTAATTCCTACGGCCACAAGATATGAGCAAAAAAATCAATAAATTCTTCTGGATCCTCATCAGTATAGCCATTAAAATTTGGGAGTAGGTATCCTGCTATTCTTATTTGTTGTATATTTGGTGGGTTATTTTGTAGTATAAAAATTTGTTGATTTAAATTATTAATTAATTGTTCAGAATTTTGGGCCCTAGTTTTCCATTTATCTATTTATTTTGTATAGTCCTGCATCTATTTTTCAATTTGTTATATCAGTTTGTTGTAAGATTTAAGAGATACGTAGTAATTGCCCTATTTGTTTTACAATCTTGTAGTTGCTAATAGGCTTTTCTATTTTTGAATCTTAATGCAAAGCTTTCTAGAAGCAATTCTGATATTTAGCTTTTTTGTGTGCAGATTGTAATTTAGCCATCTAGTTCTCTAGATTTAAATATATTATGCTGTGTTCTGTGGGCCTCATAAGCCTGATGAAGAAGATCATAGTCATTTTGAAGCCTAGCTAACTGGGTTTGTAAATCAGCAAACTGGGTTTGAGAATCGGCTAACTGGGTTTGCAAAGTTATTAGCTGGGTCTGCAAATTCGCTACTCAATTTTTAACATTAATCGCTTGAGTATTTGCTTGTAGATATATTTGTAGCACCAATCTTTCAAACCTATTTCTGGCATCAGAAATTATATTAAGATAATTTACAATACCATTTATTGTAGGTGCGGTTGTAATTGGGCTCTGAAAATATCGTCTAATATTGTCAATTTCTCTTTGAATTCTATTATTTTGGATCGTGGCTTGATTTTGGGTAGAGTTAACCTGGGTGATCCTGGTTGCTGGGTCATATTATGAAAATTGTTTTCTATGTATAATTTTTCGAGCTTGTGAGAAAAATAGTCTATTTCATCCTGGAAAATTGCTAACCAATTTTTAAATAATCTATATAATTTTCTTGATTTAAAGAATCTTGGATCGTCTTTTCTAACTGTTCTTTAAGATTAGAAATTTCTGATCTTAATGGGTCTAGCTCTTCATTCTGAATTGAGATTACTTTTTTAAGATAGTTAATATAATCCTCTTTTGAGTCCAGATCCCATAGTAATTTTCTGACCCGATTCTGTATTGCTAATAAGGCATCTTTAAATTGTTCTATTCTTTCGCTATCCCTGTCTTCTTGCAATCCTTGTGAGTCGGCTTGGCCAGACAATAAGTTTATCATTTTTTTCATATAATCACTATGTATTGTTTTTTGAGCTTGGAAAAAATCCGAAAAAAAAATATTGTCTATTTCTATAATACAGATAGATTCTGAAAAAGCTCGTGAACTAGATATATCTATTGCTTTGCGTAAAATTTATTACCATCCTAATGGTTATCAAAGAATCGTGAAAAAATTATATGAAGCCTCTCAAAAAGCTAGGTATAATTTTTCTATTGATGAAGTATATAATTGGCTTAAAAAACAAGCCTTATATCAAATTCATAAACCCTGGCCAAAATTTATTCCTAGAGCCTCTTTTAATAGTATACAGGTTCCTAATGAATACTATCAAGCTGATATTCTTTATATGTCTCATGATCGAATTAATAATATAACTTATAAATATTGTTTATATATAGTTGATGTGGCTTCACGATTTAAGTGGATGGTTCTTTTAGCTGATAGATCAGCTTATTCTGTAGCCAAGATCTTTAAAAAAGTTTATAGTAATTCCAAGTGCACTCTTATTTGGTCTAAATTATTAATAGTCGATCCTGGTTCTGAATTTAAATCTGATTGTAAAGAATTAATGGAAAAATATAATGTTAAAATTAAGGTTGGCACGTCTCATAGAAGCCAAGGTATTGTCAAAAGATTTAATCACACTTTGGCTAAAAAATTGTTTCATTTGCAAGATGCTTCTGATTTATTGCTACCTATATCTAAGAGATCAAGTGATTGGGTTAAAAATCTTTATATAATTATTGATGACCTTAATAATTCGGTAACTAGATTAATTGGCATGACCCTGGCAAAAGCTATAAAAATGAATCAGATTATTTCTGCATCTTCTAAATTATGCAATGGGCCTATAGGATTTAATAAGTTTAAATTAGATTATAATACTTTGGTTAGATATTTACTTGAATCTGGTGAATTGGAAATGGGCTCTAAAAGAGCGACTGACTATAATTGGTCTCCTCAGATTTATTTTATCTGTGAAGCTTTGGTATAAAAAAATCAGCAAATCTTATATTAGCTAGAAGATGATGAGAGCAATAGACCAAAGTGGTCTTTTGTTAGAGAAGAGCTCCAAATTAGTTCTTCTGATACAGAATTGCCCTGTGGGTACTTATGAGTTAAAAATTTTATAATATAAAAGATGCTTGTGGAATGCTTCAAGTTGGTGTTCCTGGTATTTTATGAATTAAGGAAATCTTCTGCTTCTTTATCAACTTGGTTTTCTTATTCTTGTTATTATGATAGGTGAATATATTTGCAACTATTTGCTTAGAACGGGGTTATTTGTGGGCAGATCTGTCACTGGCCCGAAGGATGCTATGAACATTGGAGAGCCAAGAAGCATCTTTCTTGTAAGGTATGTAATATGTCGACTAGCTCTGAGCCCAGCTTTTGTAGAAAGCATACTAGTGGATATTACGTAACCCAGTATATTAATAGACTTCAAAAAAAGGCTTGGGAGCTTCAACTTTATAAAAATTGTTAGGGTTGGATCTTTATACTTAGTCTGAAAAATTTACACGTAGCCCAAATTTTTTTACACCTATCTGAAAAATTTACACCCGGCCCGAATTTTTTTACACCCAATGCAAAAATTTTCACCTAAAGGTGAAAATTTTTGACCCTTGCTAGATAGTATTAAATCGCTTTTTGAATTAATTCTAGGATAACATTAGAAATAGTATGCATTTTAGGTTTAAATGGGCTCACAGAGAAGCATACTCGGACACTTCGGTCCTTGGTGCTCTCTGCTCATTTCAAGAGCAAGCCATATATTATAATTTTTTTGTTATCTTGTTTGGGATTAAAAACTTAGCCAAATTGTTAACAAAGACTATTTACTCCTTAATGCTGAAAGCCCAAATTTAGGGGTAAGAAGAATAAATTAACGAGATTTGGCTCTAGCATAATTTAGAGCTTGAATTCAATATATGATTTAATATCTAGAAAAGGCTTGTAGGAGTGGTGAGGAGCTTAATTTGAATACATTACCGAATTCAGTCCTAGAACTCCCATTTTTGCCCTACTATAATGTAAAATATTCTATAGATAATATCACTATGTGATATTCAAATGTGTTATCTAATTTTATTTAGAAAACTTAAAAAAATCTTATTATATTCTCTGAAATACTGATAGTATTGTGATTCTGATAGTATTGGGCTTCTAGTACTATCAGAATTCTGATAGTATCAGAATTCCGATACTGTCAGAATTCTGGTATTGCCAGGATTCTAGCATTATTAAGATTCTGGCATTATTAAAATTTTGAGATTGTTAGGATTTTGATATTGTCTGAATTTTGGCATTGTCAGAATTTTGACATTGTTGGTATTTTAATATTATCAAAATTTTAGATGTCAGAATATCATAAATAGTGTCAAGATTTTGTACTATCAAAATTTAGTGGTATTAGGATCTTGTAAGTAATAGAATTTTGATATTAGGATTTTATGTATCAGGATTTTAGTATTGTCAGGATCTTAATAATGCTAGAATCCTGGCAATACCAGAATTCTGACAGTATCGGAATTCTGATACTATCAGAATTCTGATAGTACTAGAAGCCCAATACTATCAGAATCACAATACTATCAGTATTTCAGAGAATATAATAAGATTTTTTTAAGTTTTCTAAATAAAATTAGATAACACATTTGAATATCACATAGTGATATTATCTATAGAATATTTTACATTATAGTAGGGCAAAAATGGGAGTTCTAGGACTGAATTCGGTAATGTATTCAAATTAAGCTCCTCACCACTCCTACAAGCCTTTTCTAGATATTAAATCATATATTGAATTCAAGCTCTAAATTATGCTAGAGCCAAATCTCGTTAATTTATTCTTCTTACCCCTAAATTTGGGCTTTCAGCATTAAGGAGTAAATAGTCTTTGTTAACAATTTGGCTAAGTTTTTAATCCCAAACAAGATAACAAAAAAATTATAATATATGGCTTGCTCTTGAAATGAGCAGAGAGCACCAAGGACCGAAGTGTCCGAGTATGCTTCTCTGTGAGCCCATTTAAACCTAAAATGCATACTATTTCTAATGTTATCCTAGAATTAATTCAAAAAGCGATTTAATACTATCTAGCAAGGGTCAAAAATTTTCACCTTTAGGTGAAAATTTTTGCATTGGGTGTAAAAAAATTCGGGCCGGGTGTAAATTTTTCAGATAGGTGTAAAAAAATTTGGGCTACGTGTAAATTTTTCAGACTAAGTATAAAGATCCAACCCTAACAATTTTTATAAAGTTGAAGCTCCCAAGCCTTTTTTTGAAGTCTATTAATATACTGGGTTACGTAATATCCACTAGTATGCTTTCTACAAAAGCTGGGCTCAGAGCTAGTCGACATATTACATACCTTACAAGAAAGATGCTTCTTGGCTCTCCAATGTTCATAGCATCCTTCGGGCCAGTGACAGATCTGCCCACAAATAACCCCGTTCTAAGCAAATAGTTGCAAATATATTCACCTATCATAATAACAAGAATAAGAAAACCAAGTTGATAAAGAAGCAGAAGATTTCCTTAATTCATAAAATACCAGGAACACCAACTTGAAGCATTCCACAAGCATCTTTTATATTATAAAATTTTTAACTCATAAGTACCCACAGGGCAATTCTGTATCAGAAGAACTAATTTGGAGCTCTTCTCTAACAAAAGACCACTTTGGTCTATTGCTCTCATCATCTTCTAGCTAATATAAGATTTGCTGATTTTTTTATACCAAAGCTTCACAGATAAAATAAATCTGAGGAGACCAATTATAGTCAGTCGCTCTTTTAGAGCCCATTTCCAATTCACCAGATTCAAGTAAATATCTAACCAAAGTATTATAATCTAATTTAAACTTATTAAATCCTATAGGCCCATTGCATAATTTAGAAGATGCAGAAATAATCTGATTCATTTTTATAGCTTTTGCCAGGGTCATGCCAATTAATCTAGTTACCGAATTATTAAGGTCATCAATAATTATATAAAGATTTTTAACCCAATCACTTGATCTCTTAGATATAGGTAGCAATAAATCAGAAGCATCTTGCAAATGAAACAATTTTTTAGCCAAAGTGTGATTAAATCTTTTGACAATACCTTGGCTTCTATGAGACGTGCCAACCTTAATTTTAACATTATATTTTTCCATTAATTCTTTACAATCAGATTTAAATTCAGAACCAGGATCGACTATTAATAATTTAGACCAAATAAGAGTGCACTTGGAATTACTATAAACTTTTTTAAAGATCTTGGCTACAGAATAAGCTGATCTATCAGCTAAAAGAACCATCCACTTAAATCGTGAAGCCACATCAACTATATATAAACAATATTTATAAGTTATATTATTAATTCGATCATGAGACATATAAAGAATATCAGCTTGATAGTATTCATTAGGAACCTGTATACTATTAAAAGAGGCTCTAGGAATAAATTTTGGCCAGGGTTTATGAATTTGATATAAGGCTTGTTTTTTAAGCCAATTATATACTTCATCAATAGAAAAATTATACCTAGCTTTTTGAGAGGCTTCATATAATTTTTTCACGATTCTTTGATAACCATTAGGATGGTAATAAATTTTACGCAAAGCAATAGATATATCTAGTTCACGAGCTTTTTCAGAATCTATCTGTATTATAGAAATAGACAATATTTTTTTTTCGGATTTTTTCCAAGCTCAAAAAACAATACATAGTGATTATATGAAAAAAATGATAAACTTATTGTCTGGCCAAGCCGACTCACAAGGATTGCAAGAAGACAGGGATAGCGAAAGAATAGAACAATTTAAAGATGCCTTATTAGCAATACAGAATCGGGTCAGAAAATTACTATGGGATCTGGACTCAAAAGAGGATTATATTAACTATCTTAAAAAAGTAATCTCAATTCAGAATGAAGAGCTAGACCCATTAAGATCAGAAATTTCTAATCTTAAAGAACAGTTAGAAAAGACGATCCAAGATTCTTTAAATCAAGAAAATTATATAGATTATTTAAAAATTGGTTAGCAATTTTCCAGGATGAAATAGACTATTTTTCTCACAAGCTCGAAAAATTATACATAGAAAACAATTTTCATAATATGACCCAGCAACCAGGATCACCCAGGTTAACTCTACCCAAAATCAAGCCACGATCCAAAATAATAGAATTCAAAGAGAAATTGACAATATTAGACGATATTTTCAGAGCCCAATTACAACCGCACCTACAATAAATGGTATTGTAAATTATCTTAATATAATTTCTGATGCCAGAAATAGGTTTGAAAGATTGGTGCTACAAATATATCTACAAGCAAATACTCAAGCGATTAATGTTAAAAATTGAGTAGCGAATTTGCAGACCCAGCTAATAACTTTGCAAACCCAGTTAGCCGATTCTCAAACCCAGTTTGCTGATTTACAAACCCAGTTAGCTAGGCTTCAAAATGACTATGATCTTCTTCATCAGGCTTATGAGGCCCACAGAACACAGCATAATATATTTAAATCTAGAGAACTAGATGGCTAAATTACAATCTGCACACAAAAAAGCTAAATATCAGAATTGCTTCTAGAAAGCTTTGCATTAAGATTCAAAAATAGAAAAGCCTATTAGCAACTACAAGATTGTAAAACAAATAGGGCAATTACTACGTATCTCTTAAATCTTACAACAAACTGATATAACAAATTGAAAAATAGATGCAGGACTATACAAAATAAATAGATAAATGGAAAACTAGGGCCCAAAATTCTGAACAATTAATTAATAATTTAAATCAACAAATTTTTATACTACAAAATAACCCACCAAATATACAACAAATAAGAATAGCAGGATACCTACTCCCAAATTTTAATGGCTATACTGATGAGGATCCAGAAGAATTTATTGATTTTTTTGCTCATATCTTGTGGCCGTAGGAATTAATGTATTAGCCGGACATGCCTATAGAGTTCGAGCACATGGTCTTTTTGAAACATGCCTCAAAGGTGATGCTAAAGATTGGTATGAAAGATCTCTTCGAAGAAAGAATTGGGAATTGAGAAATTTATTAGATAATACCAGCCAAGTTGATTTAGGTGCGACCTAAGAACGAACGGTAGTACAACTTGGTGCAAATTTAAGACATGGTACCGTGGGCCAGGCAGAAAATATTGTTATTCCAGCTCATACAGTATTTGATGAAGACTAGTCTTTTGCCGATTGGCACCCAACAGATCGATTACCCAATGCGCCAAATGCTAATGCCAGACAAACTATAGTAGCAAATGGAATCCAACTTGGCCAGGCAATATACTGGCTTAAAACTAACTATCTCACAGTCACTGCGGAAAAATAGCGAATGCTCTTTGGTTCAACGGTCCAAGGCAGTGATCCTGTAGGTCGATTCTATTCTAAGTTATGTAAACTTGCTAGGCTTGCTAGGATTGATGAACAACAAATTCGATTACAATTTATTCATGGTATCTCTCCTGATAATCAATTAAAAATTCGATGTATTGGAATTAATAGGCCTGTATCTGAATTGCTTACAGAACTTGAAGAAATCGAAAGATATAAAACAGAGCAATTATCTGGAGTATATTTATATTTGGGCACAGATAAATCTTATAGAAAAGACAATAACCCTTCAGGTCTGGGTATAACCAAAACTGAAATCGAAACTTGATAAAATCTATAATACCATCTATCCAAAAAATAATGACTCAGCACTTTGTGTCATCTCAACCGATTTCTTCACAACCATCTCAATCATACTATAGGCCACAACCACCAGGAACCTCTCAAATTATACAAGATACGAATATGAGTAGATTTATACAATGGCTTACTGGGAAGATTCCAGAATTTGTTTCTGTTTCCAAGCCCGATTTACCTCCAAAACCAGCAATAAAGAAAGCATTGCAAAGCAATAACCCACAGGGTCTTGAAGTTACAGATAATGATCCTGTAGAAGATATGCGTAGACAATTAGAAAACCTCCAAATCAATCTAACAAAAATAAATAAAGCTATGAAAAAGAATTTTAGCAAGTCTAAATTTTCTTGTCACAAGACCAAAACCAAATCTAGAACCCAAAAAAAGAAATAGAGTTGATCAAAACATATTAATGCCCATATAATTTCAGATAAATCATCTATAGACTCTAGCAATAGCGAAAATAGTACAATATCTAGTGAAAATGAACTTGAAACCAATACCTTAGCACGTTCATGAAATGAATCAAAATCTGATTCCTCTAAAACCAGTGATTCTAGTAATTCCAAAAACGATTCAGAAGAATACGAAGCCAATGCCACAAAAAAAAATAACTTATTCTAATACCAAGAGATCAAAGAAGCACAAAAGTGCCAGGCCAAAAACTTCTAGCAAAAAATCTAGTAATGCTTCTGATAAAAAGGGTAGTAAAGATACTAGGTCACTTAAAATTCCTACAGATAATATTAGCTTAAATGTATTTTTTGCTATTTTATAGTCAATGGTTGATTCATTTACTCATATATAACCTAAAGAAGTCTCAATTAATAGTTATAATATGATTAATGCCGAATTCATTGCACTGAAAGATCCTGTTCTAAATCATTTTACTTCGAATTTTTTAGACAAAGAATGAAAAAAGTTCTGGCATGAGATTACTATGATATTCTCTCACATCTTGCAACCAATATCAGATCTAATTCAAATTGCTTCCCAGTAAACAAATATACCACCCCAAACAGCCCCAGAGAGATCACAATCAGAGGCAGAAATTTCATAGCCCAACCCTATAGAAATTAATTTTATTCATAAAATTATTCCCAATGATGTCGCTACTATATGTTGCAAGATTAGCTCACCATTAGAAAAAATTGTACAAGTGCCTTCTGCCATGATAGATAGTAAAGCAAATTGCTTGGTTATCTCAAAAGGCCTTATAAAACTATTGGGAGCAGAAGTTGATAAAAATAAAAAACTATCTGTTAAATGGTGTAACAATTCTTTAGAGTCTTCAGGCATATCTTATAATATTTCGATTACGGTTGGTCAGGGAGAAAATAGTTGTACAATCTCTAAAGCTTTCTGGTCATGGATAATGATAAGCCCTGGAAATTATTGGGTACATCTTGGCTTGATCGAGCAGGATGGGAACC